GACGACGGCCTGTGGCGCGGTGGGCCCCGGACGGCAGCAGATGGAAAGGTTCTTGTGAAACGTCTCCGCAGCTGAGAGGTTTCAGACCCCAGACATAAGGATGGCAGAGGATGACAGCGCGGGAGGCTGAATGGAATCCACCCTATGAGGCCATAGGGAAATGGACAAGGCATTCTTCTGGAAAGGACAAGCTGAAGGGAATCAAAACAGTTTTAAGTGAACCTGTTCAATAACTACCATTGGCATTATTGTAAGCAGACACATATCAAGGTTAGCACCAAGTGATTTGAAAGGCACTCTTGATACATTGTTGATATATGACCTTACTTTCCACAGGCCCTGAGAAATCTGGGTCTGCTTGCATGAGCAAAGTTGTGTTAAAGCTGTCATGAACCACACGTGGAAAAGCATCAGTAAGGTAGTCTCTTAAAAGAACGTTGATCGGCATCTGAAGAAGGAAAATGCATCACGATGTCCGCAGATTACCAGGTTATCTAGGAAAACACACAATCCACAAATGACCAGGTCAATTTTAGAAAATATGCAGTCCAAAAATGACAGGTTATTTGAAAACATGCAGTCCAGAGGATGGACAATAAGAGACAACACTGATACCTGTAAATGTAAAATTTCCACTCACCAGAGTGATTGTAATTAAACTAAACTAGATCCTTGCTGTTCTGAGAAGACAAGAAAGCTTTAAGATAAAGAGGCTCCTCAATAACACTACTTAGACAAACTCAACTTGCTGTTTTGAGAAGGCAGGAAAGCTCTAAGTTGGAGAGGCTACTAAATAATTCTGCCCCAGACAGTTCAGCCTTGGGAGGGCAGATGTACCAAGCTACAGAGATAAAGAGGCACCAAGAGGGCAACAAGACCGGAGCAAAACAACCTGGAAGGACACGGTATATGTAATCTTAGAACTGAGTCTGCGCTGAAAAAAAAGTCAACCAGCAGACACTGTGATGAGGAGTATAAGCCTTCATCTTGAGACCCCCAAAGACCACCCGAGGACACTAACAGGCATCACAGAATCACAGAATCACAGAATGGTAGGGGTTGGAAGGAACCTCTGTGGGTCATCTAGTCCAACCCC